TGGCGCCGATACGCCCGAGGGCTTATCCGGGCACGGGGACCACCTGATTAAAGAAGGTTTCGAGACTGGCGAACGGGGCGGCGGGCGGCCGATCATTACCGGCGGCCGGCCGCACCAAGAGTTAGTCACACCCCCGTCTGATCACAGTTTTGCGGGTCAAACGGATCAAAACAAACACAAGCGCGCGAGGCGGTATAGCAGTTTTGGCGAAGAAGTCGCGGATGAGTAACAATCGAGCGTTTCTCGTAGGGGGTCTCGCTCCCGGACACTGCACACATGTTGTGACTTGCGGACATGACTCAAGATTTTGTAGCGAGCATGATGCAGCAAACAATGTTATTGTGAGGCTCATCCTACAACCAACCCTTCGCAAGTTCTGAAAAAAGTCATCTCGGAGGCCTGTTTACCTGCCAAGGCCATCAATTTCCCTGTCACCGACAAGATCAACAAGCCATTCTCATACCAACACGGCATCTCCACAGGCCATAAAAGAAAACAATTTTGCATCGTGCAAACTTTTCTCAACTCGGAACGGTATAGCAGCTCGTGAAAGCAAATTCAGGTTGCATGACGTGCCGAGCGCAGGGGACACATAATCCAGAACAGTTACGTGGTCTGGTGGGGAGGGAGTCGTGACAAGGAAACGGTCTCCGTGTTGTGCCTGACCGGTGTTGAAAACCCGACCGATGTTGAAAATCAGACCGGACGAAAGGGGGGATGGGGAGGAGAGGTCAGGTCACGTGACGCGGTCCCACGCTAGCCGCGGCCAGCACGACCAGGGCCACCAGCGATGGAAAGGCTGCATCACATCCGATGCAGAGCGAGTCTGCTCCTTGTCGTAAATCACGAGACAACGCCCGCTGCTCACACAGGGCGCCAGCCCACCACACAACGAGAATCGAGGGTGGCGTTCGTGGGAGCCAGCTGCCCAGCTCCAAGCCCCTCCAGTTTCGCATCCATCGTCGACCGGCACACGCCCGACGGCGAGCGCCTGCCCACGGCGGCCCGGGGCCCGAGGCCCGAGGCCCGAGGCCCGGGGCCCGGGGCCCGTGGTCCGGGGCCCGAGGACCGAGGCCCGAGGCCCGTGGCCCACGGTCCGCGGCCCGTGGCCCGTGGCCCGAGGCCCGAGGCCCGAGGCCCGAGGCCCGTGGCCCGCGGCCCGAGGCCCGGGGCCCGGTGTCCAGCGCAGGCAGACGGACGCCCGGCCGCGGCCACTCGGCGCGCCGACAATGGGCCCCTCACGGCCGTGGCGGCGGGAGAGTGTCCGCTGTCCGTGACGCAACGTCCCGTGACTCGCCACCGTGCGACGGAGCCGAGGAGAAAGGCAATCGGCTGCCGGCGACCGACAGAAAGCTTTCATTACGTTGTTTATGAACAGAGCACGCCAGGCCTATTCGATACACGAATCATTGTTTGTCAAGAGTAAGGAGCACCAGATGCCGACAACAACGGAAAACAGGAAATCGCTCACGGATTGCGTCAGTGGGAGGAGCGTTATGGGCGCGAACGCAGCAAACGACTCGCGCACACCCAGGTGGGACCATATGCCGGCATGCCAAAGCGGCTAATGCAATGCCAGCTCGCACCTTCGCAGCAGTCAACACCGTCCGAATTGCAGCAATTCAAAATTGAGTGCCGCAAAATTGCTTGCGCACAACGCAGCTGGCTACGCTGTCCACTGACGAGCCAACCACCCAGAAGGTCGAGGCGGGCAAGGTCGCTGGCGTCCCGATGCAGAGACACGACTCCCGGTGATGTCCGGTCACGGGGCGCGCGTCCGGCAGCGGAGGATGCGCCGCCGCTCAGGGCACGCGCGCGGCGCGGCGCCGGCGGCCCAGTTACGACACGACCGCACGGCCGGCCCGTCGGTGCCGGTGCCGCCGGTTGAAAGGGGCTCGAGAGGCCCAACAAACAGCTCCCCGGCGCCGCTCTTCAGCCTCGGGCTGGGGCACAGCGCAGTCTTCCGGGCCAAGGGCGCTTCCGAGCAGCGCCTTGGGTCAAGGCCGCAGCCCCCAGAACCAGGTGAACACGGGCCGGCCTGTCGGCTGCATAAGTCGCTGAAAACGGATGGGCCAGGCGCCGCCTCTCCAGAGTTTCGGTGGTGCAGGGGTTAAGCTGCGCGACTGGGGAGCCAGAGACACGGGGTTCGATTCCCCGCGGTACCCGCCCTTCCTCCGACGCCATATGGTCCAGCAGCTGAGAGCCTATGAGGCCCAAATGACAGCACCGTCCCCCTGACGTGGAGTTCGGTAGAACAGCCGATAAACTGCTCTACCACGCAGCTCACTGGCTGCATGACGAGCACCGTCCGCCACACCGTTCTCGCCGTCTGTCACCGTCGGACCACTGAAATACTCGCGCCTCACTCAGTATTCGTGCCTCAGGGTGGTGACCGGGCACGCGGACGCACCCGGAGTGCGGCTTGACCCTGACCCGACCCGGCGCGGCGGGCAGCGCGCCGCCGCGCCGCCGCCGCCGCCGCCGCCGCCCGCCCCGTGGGCCGGCCGGACCGAGCTCGCCGCCGGTGGCCGGGGGCGGCCGGCCGCGACCTAGACCACGGCGGCCGCTGGGCACGCCGTCCCCCGCCGATACAGACCTATCGCTTCCGGGCGGCCGGCGCCGCGACCGAGCCCGGCCGAGCGGCCGCCGCCAGCTGATCAATGATGTAACAGGAACGGGCCCGCGGCGCAATCGATATCGCCTAGCAACAGTCCGTGCCACTTGTCGTGATAATGCAAAACATGCCGGCCGGTGACCAATGGCCCGATGGCCCGACTGTGAAGGCTGCAAGGGAAGGGTCTATTGACTTCCTGGTGCGGCCAGATCGCACCGGAACGGACCGGCGTTCCCGCCAGTACCACCCGCTCCAGACCAGGACAGCATGAAAAGGTGGACGAGGCAGGACCAAGGGGACACTGGACTTTGGGACCACGAGACCAAGGCGCCACTGGGTCGGTAAGAGCAACTGGACCGGAAAGAATCCTTCAAAGTCGCTTCAAGTTTCACATGGCGAAGCAACGCAAGAAGTTATTTGGAATCGCCATTGGTTGGTTCCCTACCACCCCACTTACACGAGGGAGAATGTGAACATTACCAGCTAAACAAGAGCGAAGTGCACACAACGCTTTGCGAGCAGACGGTCCCTTGAAAGCTGCGCCAATTACGCGAAAACCGTGGCTTTTAGAGAATGAAGCAATCTTTTCGCAGACCTGGCCCTTGGACTCGTCGCCACTGGGGCTGGGTGTGCTGACTTACCTCCATGGCCGGCGAGTACATGCCGCCCTGCTGGCCGCCGTGGCCGACACCATCCGACATCAGCGGTGGCAGCTCGAACTCCTCGTCGCCGAGGCTCGGCGGCTGGTACGACTGAAACAGCGCCGCGGTCAGCTCCAGCGGGCACCGGGCGCGACAGAGGAGAGCGCCAACCCGGCCGGGTCTTGACCTCAGGTCAAGCGGGGTCAATGCAAGTCCGCCTCGGATTCGATGGGGAGACAAGCGGCCGCGCCCGGCCAGAGAGTCCGTCACACAAGGCCGCCGACGACATCCCACACAGGAAAGGCCAGGCTGGCTGGCACCCCGCTGAAGTCCTCTGGCTCTGAGCATCACACATGCCAAGTACCACGGGCCGGCGCTTCAAACACACAATACACGCTTTCGTCGGCAGTCACGCCTCCCCTCATTGTTCCCCCACCGCATGCCTGCGGCGATGTTCTGTCGTTCCACGAGCGGCCACACGGGCGCGGGCGGCGGCGGCGGCGGCGGCGGCGACCCGACCTCTCCCTCCCCTGACGGTGATCCGTCAATGACCTAAGCGGCCGCTTGTCGGGCGCCAATGAGGCGACGCGGCCGCGGCCGCTTCATAATTCGGCGGCCGCCGCGGCCGGCCGACCACCTGTTAGTAACTCTGCCGACCGGCGCGGCGCGCGCGCTCTAATTGGGAC